TGCAGAAACAGGCAGCCAGTGCCTGCCCCCAAAGAGCTCCCAGTCTCTGGGAATGTGACACAGGCTTAAAACCAGGGGTAATATCATAGGAAAAGTGCAAGGGAAGGGTTCTCCTGATGGATTCATCCAGAGCGATGGGACCTGAAAGCATCGTGCATATTGATTGCAGAAGCAGCAGACCTGTGCAGGGAGAGAAGCATCAGTACACACACCTGTGCAGGGAGACTGGCATTGGGACACACACCTGTGCAGGGAGAGCAGCCGGGGAACACGCACCTGTGCAGGGAAGGCGGTGATATGGTTTGGCTGTGTCCCTATCCAAATCTCAACTTGAATTATATCTCCCAGAATTCCCACGTACTGTGGGAGGGACCCAGAGGGAGGTGATTGAATCATGGGGGCTGGTCTTTCCCATCGTTCTCGTGATAGTGAATAAGTCTCACGATATCTGGAGGGTTTATCAAGGGTTCCCACTTTGCTTCTTCCTCATTTTCTCTTGCTGCTGCCATATAGAACGTGTGTTTCGCCTCCCGCCATGATTCTAAGGCCTCCCCAGCCATGTGGAACTGTAAGTCCAGTTAAACCTTTATTTTCTTCCCCGTCTGGGGTATGTCTTTATCAGCAGCGTGAAAACAAGCTAACACAGGAGGAATCGGGGCAGGCAGTTGCGCAGCACACCTGGGAAGCAGGGCTGTCCTGGCTGATTCTCGGTCAAAGGGAAAAAGGAAGGGGACACACAGTGAATCCTGGCAATGCATCCCCCGAGGGTAATACCAACCAGGTGCGTTGTCCCCGTTTCACAGGCAGTGTTCGGAGAGCTCCGAGACAGTGCAGGAGGGGAGCTGCTCTGCGCAGGGCCCTGGGCAGGAAAACTGTCAGGCCCAAGAGGAAGATGAGGAGGTTGGGAGGGGCAGTGTCACTCTTTCCACTGTTTCTTTAACATGGAGGACCACCTGGTCTGGTCCTCCCCAAGGTGCCTCATTAAGGTGGGATGCAAAGGCCCAGGGGTGCCATGGGAGCAGTGGGTCCGTGCAGCGCAGTGAGTCCCACCCACTGTAAAGGCCCAGACACCTCTCCGGGGAGGCACAGGGCTGGTAGCACCAGAACCGTTCCCAAGGCGTCTAGATCTGCTGACAGACATAAGGCAGGAGGAGAGGCAGGTATGGAGGGTGGAAGGAGAGAGGTAAAGCTGGGCTGGTGAATGCAGCTGCGGACGTGGCCCTCATTCCCAGGGAGTGGGGGGCACGCCAGGAACATGGTCAGATTTGTGTTTTAGAAACTGCGACGGGCTTCCCTGCGAGGCTGGGTCACCCTGGAGAGACTGGGGCAGTGAGGTGGGTAGGGGACCAGGAGCCTGAACCCGGGAATGGCGGTGGGGATGGGAGTGGACAGAGGCCAGAGATGAGGAGGAGGCGGGCTGAGGGGGACGCGGCCGACTGTGCTGAGGGAGAGGACGTTGAAGGCTGATTCTCAGGTGGCCAGGGCCTGGCTGGGGTGGCAGCGAGGCCAGCCGGGGCAGCAGGGTGGGGGCTGGAGGGGCAGGTCGATGGGGAGTTCTGCGTTGGGCAGTCGCGAGGGGAGGGGACTCCTGATGAGCTCTGCGGAGGGCACCTGCAGATGCTTGGGGTGAAGGAAGAGAGAGGTCTGGATGGACACGAGCCAAAGCCTGGCCTCACTGGACTTCTTGGGTTGCGCCTAAGAATAGGGTTTTGAAACTTTGAGGTTATACCTGGGAGTTGGGAAAACCCACCAAAGCCAACAGCCCAGGCCCCACAGCAGCTCCCATCCCAGGCCGGCTTATGCCCGCCCTGCAGGCCTCACCCCTGCTTCCCCGGCTCCTGCTCTCTCTCTCTGCCCCCTGCCCACAGCCTTGGCTTCCTGCCTTCAGCAGCCACCCCAGTTCCCAAACGCCTTCCCTCATGTTGGGCAGCGCCCTGATGGAAGCTCAGGCTTTCACAGCCCAGGGCTGCTTCCCAGCTCAGCCTCAGGGCTTGGAGAAGGAGCTGTGCCCTGCAGTCACCTTCCTGGGAAGGGACAATTGGTGCGTGGCTCTGGATGGGCTCCGTCCCCTGCATGGTTTGGCAGAAGCCACAGTGAAGTCCTGGGAATGCATGAGACCGTCCTGGCGGCTGGGGGGCAGGTCCAGGAGTCGGGGTCGGGAAGCCATGCTCGGGGTGTCAGAGGGTAGGGGCTGCGAGAGCGGGGGCTCTGCCTGGGGGGTGCCTGGGCCCCGCTGACTTCCTGCACCTCCTCTGGGGAGCAGCCAGAGTGCTGTTTTACACGTGTGACGATCACACTAGAACATTCTCAGCACAAAGGAGGTGCTCCGTCAATGTTTGCTGAGTGAATAAATGTGCTCTCTTGCTCTAAATGGCCATTGCCTGGCTGTGAACTCAAGGGCACAGCAGGTGGAATTCATTTTTGTGTTCTGGGGCCTGACAGAGAGAAGGGGCTTGGGAATCATTTGTGTAGTGATTTTCAGAATAATGTCAGGGCCTAAAACTATAACAGCAAAATGCAGCACCTGCTGCCCCAGCTGCTCCCTCTTCTGGGGCTGGCGGGTCAGGACCTGTGGAGGGAGGGAGCCCGGTGACCCCAGGGGCCGTGGCACCCACAGCATCGGTGGCTCTACTGCTTTCCACAGCAGGCCCCATCAGCTTTCTGCCTGCTCTTTGCTGTGGAACTTGTCTGTCGCAGCTGTCCCGGGCAGTAGGTCCTGCGCGAAGCTGCCCTGGGAGGAGTGGGGCAGTGGGAGGAGTGGGGCAGTGGGAGGAGTGGGGCAGTGGGAGGAGTGGGGCAGTGGGAGGAGTGGGGCAAGTGGGGAGAGGCAGCCGCGCTCGTTCTCGGTCTTGCTCTGAGGTAGTCACTTTCCCTGGGGTCTCGTTTGAAAAATGAAGGCAGTCGGCTATGTGCTGCCCTCCTGCTGCGACTTAGGATCTGACCCGAGGGCCAGAAGGTTAGCTTGGTCTGTGCACACTCAGGAAAGCCCTGAGCGCCGTGCCTGAGAGCAGGGTGGCGGCAGGACTGTCATCCCAGTGTCTTTGGGGACTGCGCCGAGGAGCCAGGCCACATCCCGCGTGGGGTGACTTCCATGTCCACGGGGCCAGGCTCATTTTGGGTATTTCATGCAGCTCCCTGAATTCTCAGAACAGCCTGTGAGCTGTCATTATCTGTCCTATGGGAAAGCAGGCAGGATGTAGGCCTGAGACAGGCTGGTGCCAAAGTCTGTGCCCTTTCCACAGGACTGGGTATTTGGAAACATCCGTTCAATTAACCTTCAGGTATGGCGAGGCCCTACGGTCGCTGACAAGCTAGTCTGTGAAGGTTCTCAGGAGGACTGGCCATACCATGCCATACCACACCACACCAGGCCATGCCAGGCCACACAGGGAAGTGCAGGCCAGCTGAGAGGCCGAGGGAGCAAGGGGAAAGTGTGGGCAAAGCCAGGAACCTTTGCTGTGGTTTCTGCGGGAAGGAACAGTTGAGGCCAGGGAAGAGGGCTTGGGGCTGAGTAGCCTGAATCACTTCTGTGGGCTCCTGGCATTGGCTGTGTCCTGTGGTCTGTTGCCTGGCCCTGGGGTGATTAGGGCCGGGGTACAGTTGGCTGCAGAGTGAGAGCCCCAAGCCCCCCTTAGTGAGGTGGGCAGGCGTGGCTCTAGACTGCCTGGGTTTTGAATAAGGTGTGTTCCAGGGTAGGGGTCACTACGTCTAGGAATTGGCCAGCCCTGGGAGGGCCGTCCCTCCAGGGTCAGCAATGTGTCCAATGTTAGAGCATCAGGAAAAACCGATGTTATGGGCTGCCCTCCGCAAGACAGGGGGCAGTGGCTCAGCTGTGAGGAGCCCCTGCCCTCAGGGAGGGTTCCAGATGCACCAGACCCTCCGAGTGCAGGGCAGGGTTGGAACGTGCCCCCGTCTCCGCCTCCTGTGCAGGAGGTGGGTACACCTGACCCCTTCCTTCAACCCTGCCAGGTCTCCTGCCCTACTTTCCAATCGGTCCCTTTGTAGGAAGGGAGAGCCACTTTTAACAGCCTCATAAAACAGATGAAGTTTCCATCATAAAATTTCTGAATCACAGACGTCAGGTCATGTTTTCCCTGCTTCCCATTAAGGAGCCGGGCTCCTGATTTATGTTCTCGAGGCTTCGTGTCGCCTGCTCCCAAAATTATAACTCACATGGATATCCCTGAGCACTCTCCATGGTGTTAAAAAGCAAAGCCAGGAGTCCCAGTGTCCTCTCGCTAAGTTTGAAAGGAAATTAGAGGCCCTTCCTTTCCATTTGGCAGCCTACCAGGGCATGGCCTCTGTTCAAAAGCCAGCAAGGAGCGTTACTTTAAAAATGGCCTGTTAAAAGCTTTAACCAGATTCTGCCCACACGACGAACCGCCCACCACAGAATAATTAACAGTGCAGCAGGGGACGCTCAGCCTTCTTGGACGCTGCCTGGGAGGACACGCCGCTCACGGCGTCAAAGGGCAGGTCAAGGGTGCTTGGAAAATGACTTCTCTCCTTGCAGAACTCCTATTTAAACACAACAGCCTAGCTCCAATAACCCCCACTCCTGTGTAAAAACCCTCCCCAACAGCCTCAAACTTAGCAGCTCTGTGATTCCAGAAATCTTCACAGTCCTCTACACAAAAGACGCACCCGGGATCTCTTTCTATGTCGTCCTGCCTGGAGCAAGCTCCCTGAGGGCGCGAGTTGTAGCTGACCCGTTTCTAGTTCCAGCACCTGGTACAGTCGGCCTCACCGCGGGTGCACAAAACGTCTCTTGAACTGGATGTTCAGGTCTGTGGACTCAAAACTACTTTTAAATACAAACCACGGTTCCTTCATCTGCCTACTTCTTCCCTCCACGTGTCACTCCTGACCCCTCTCCCCTCCGCAGGTGGCCCAAGGTCAGCGAGAGCCTCCCCCCCCACCCAACCTGACAGCAAGGACTTCAGGAAACGCAGCCACTTCTCAGTCTGCAGCACACACCAAGGGCAGTGAAGACACCGGGCTCGCGGAGAGAAGTTTATTCATACACAAAGGTGCACGCCAAGGGCGCCAGTCTAGGGTTACACCACGTGAAACAGTAGAAAAATCAACCAGGAAAGCAGGAAATTCAGTGAAGCTACTACAAAATGGGGCGAGTGCACTGAAAACTAGGATTTTCCTTGCAAGTTGCTTTTCATAAAATGTTTACTTTATGAATTAAATACATTGAGAAACAGTGAAAATATATTTACAGTCATTTAAAATGGGCACTACCAACATATTTAATTTAAAAAAATCTTTGCTGTTTCTTTGCCTGTTTCTTTCAAAGAGAATTTTAAATATGACTTTAGCTTTTAAAAAATACAATAAGGAAATAATTACATTCTTAATATGAAAACATTTTACAACCTATCGCCATGGTCAATTAATTCTGAGTATCCTTTAAAAGTTGATGTTAAAATTTAAAGTGAATATTTCCTTTCTTGTTAGAAAATCAAAAAGATTATCTCATTAAAAACACCTTTGGTCCCTAAGAATTACGATCTGAAGATCTCCTTTTGAAAGTATCTTCCACGGCTACACTAAAAAGACCGGGTAATACTTGTGCACGGTGAAGTTGAGGTTTTCTGGAAGACCAGAGCTGGAACTGTTTCATGAACTGCGGGCAAAAGGACGCGTCTGAAGCCCAGCACTTCCCAGGCGCAGTTTCCTTCCCTTTACAGACGATGGAGTGGCCTGCTATGGCTTGGGGACTCACGAATAGAGGTGGCTTTGCTTTTTCCACGGTGCTGTGCCACGTGTTTACGGCAGGAATGCTTTGGTTTCACTTTAGTTTATTTCACAGTATGAACCCAGCCCATCATGGTGACAAGACAGTGACAACCAGAAAAAAATGAATTATCCTCCTTCAAACTATGTCATGAACTTGAAGTTACCGTTCCCATTAGAAAATTATTTTAGTAAGAGGAAGGCAATAATTTAACATTGAAGTATTGCCACGACCTTTATGTAAGCTGCAGGGCACCCTGCCAGGCAACCCTGATGCCTGGAGACCTCCAGTGCTGTGCTCCCAGAAGAGGCTGTTTCAAGGATGGACATCCACCTGACTGCAGGGGCCACCTGTGAGCTCAGGGTGTCGGCCCTGCCCTGCGGCATGACGTGCCTTTTCTCTAGGTGCGGGTCACCGGCCACACGACAGGCTACCCATCCTTGGATGGTGTCAAATGACATGAGTTTGGTGCATGAACAGAGCACCTCACCTGGGTAGCAAAGTCTGTGGGCAAAATGTACATCCCCCCAAATAGTGGGTGAGTTAACAGCCTCTTTGGAAAGGTAAGGGGTGGCCACAAACAAGGGAGCTTTGCCCACAACCCTATACCTAACCCTAGCTTCAACACTGCCCTTTGAATCCCGTGCACAAGCGCCAAATTGTGGCCATAATGATAACGAATCTCAAACTCCTTCCTGGGGGTGGCCTCCAGAGCTGAGGGCAGCCTTTTTGAAACAGACTTTTCAAAAGGAGTAAATCTCCACCTTTTAGGGTAGTTCTGTCTATTTAGAAATAGCCAATAATAACTTTGGGACGAGTAAGATACAGGGGAAGGTTAGGCCTGGCCACGCCAGGGCACAGGCACAGAGGGCGAGACGGGACTGACGCAGCTGGTAAATGGCCACCTGCCAGCCCCAAGGGAAGGTCTCATGGACAGTGGCCCGTGCTCCTGGGTCAAGTCTGGTGCCTGGGGTGACTCAGCAGACCCACACTGGTTACCCTGCAACCGCCACAGACTCTGGAAGCCGAGGGAGGGAGCTACTGGCCTTGCAGACAGATGGGCCTTGCCCTAGTTGCCCCTAGATTCTGGGAAGAGGGAGCCATGGCCTGCCTGTCGGGCCTCTGCACCCCTCATCCTGGCTTCTCCGGGGACCCTGGCCTGCCTGTCGGGCCTCTGCATCCCTCATCCTGGCTTCTCTGGGGACCCTGGCCTGCCTGTCGGGCCTCTGCACACCTCATCATGGCTTCTCCAGAGACCCTGGCCTGCCTGTCCGGCCTCTGCACACCTCATCATGGCTTCTCCAGGGACCCTGGCCTGCCTTTTGGGCCTCTTGCCCCCACAACCTGGCTTCATTATGAAATCAGACACACTTGCAGCTGCCACAGAGGCAAGGGGTGCTTGTTCCTGGGGCATGTTTTGGGAGGGTGATAAAATGAGATCACTGTCAGAATTCTGGCAGGATGGCTCGTGTGTGTCTAATATGTACAGATATAAATTAAAAACTATTTATTGAACATATACAAATAAATAACTTATTCTGAAGTAAATGCTTTAAACTTTCTGATCAAATGCGAAATTTCAAGGGAGTATCTGGCATCGAGGGAATCCAATGTCAGGGCCCCCTTCCAGGGCACCCATTTTGAAAGGCTCTATGGACCACAATGGGATTCGTGAAAGTTTGCCTCCTCTTTAAAAGGCTTATGGTTGTGGCAGTGAATTACAAACCTGGGTTTTTAAAACAAAATATGCATGCTGGGAGTCGAGCACCAATCAGCTGTGCCCTTGGGCAAGTCCCTGCTAAGGTTCTGGGGCCTCCTTACCCGGTGAGGAAGCTGGCGGGTGATGGCTCAGGCCCATGTGACACACCGTGTGCCGCTCGCGCTTCACCTGCCGGCTCGCCGCTGCCCCCCTGTGCTGGGCCAGGACTGAGACTTCAGGCTGGCCATCTCCCGCTTCTCCTCCTAACCACCAAAACCTCGCACAGTTCTCTTCGGCAAAGCAGGCTGCCAATCAGAATGGCCCAAGAGCCTCAACTGGGGAAACTATCTGACCCGAAGGCAGCAAAAACCTATGGGGGAGCAAACATTTTCACCTTTATAGAAAATGCATTCTGTGTGATACGAACTGGTCCCAGCTGCCTGCAATGGTGGGAAGTCCCCACCGGAGGGAGGGCTCCTCTATGGCAACGCAGTGGACTGGCCCTGAGACGTGTGGCGTCCCCGCCCGACATGCCTGGATGTCCTAGTGGGAAGCTGGCATCACGGATGCTGGTGTAATGGGCCTCCACGGACTAGGCCAGGAGGAACGTGCATCAGAGGAGGAACGCGAGTCAGAGGAGGAACGCCGGCTGACGGCTCAGGAACCCAACACGCTCCCAGCAGATGGCTTTGCGATCAATTCAAGTTTCAGGTGGACTCCAGCAGCTTCCAATTCTTGTAAAACTTTCTTATACACGGGAGACCACTTTTCCGCTCGAGTAATCCAACGTGGCCCCTGCAGGCCACGACCTTCAACATGAATCCTAACTGTACAGTCCCGTGTGCCACATGGCTGGCGCTCTGAAAGCATGTCTGGGGGAAACTCCTTGTCAGTGTTTTCCTGCCGTCCCTTCCTCTGCGTGACAAAGGACATTCTGGACACTGGACAGAAGGCTTGCACCAAGTGTGACACCTCTCTATTCTCTGCTCAGGGAAGGGGCGGTCGCTGCTGGGACTGGTCTCCGTGAATCCGCCTGCGGAGGCTTTCAGGGGCGACTTATTTTGTCATCAGTGACTGCATCTTCCCGTAATGGAGAATTCCTGACAGCGGTCTCCGGGAGACCAAGAAGTTAAATCTGACTTTTAAACCCAGGGAGCAGATACCAGCTCAAACCATGAACTCTGTTTTTTTTTTTTCCTTTATGCCTTAGGCATCTGAATTCTCCAAGCGATATTGCACAGAAGGCAAGTAAGAAAGCTGGGAAAGGGGCCCTACCCGCACCCACCCCACTCAGGAGAGGCAGCACGGCCAGGCCCACCCATGCATTAGTGGTTTAACTTGACAAGCTGGAGGAAGGGAGAGGGAGGGGCAGGAGGCCCTGGAATTCCTGCCTCGTGCTCTAAGATGTTATAATTCCATGAGGGAACAAGTTCCAGAACTTGCTTCCCTTTCAAAGGACTGCCCTGCCCCACGCAGCAGTAAACGTCCTGTACAGTGGCGAGCAGCCAGCCCCTGCCCCCAGAGGCTCCTAGTGGGAGGAGCACCTGCCGGCTCCGATGTGGATTAAGGGCTGGGGATGCCAGCCCAAGGGGGAGGAGGGCACACTGTTAGTGAAGTATTAAAACCCTCTGCTACCTGTCAAAAGTAGCACAAATAATAAAATAAGGAACCTCTGAAAAATCCTTAGATCTAAGTGTGACACACAACAAAAAAAATTCTTAAAAAACAGGTTAAGAAGAATGGCAGCTTTTCATGTCTTGGTGACAAAAGCATCTGTCCAAAAAATAATAAAAGGTAAAAAATGTTTCACAGCGTGATTTTCTCATGCCTTTACCTCTGATGACGAGGGGGACGGGCACGTGGGGAGGGTACGCCGAGACACAGAGTCCACGTCAGGGCTGTGTAAGCCCCTGGCCCTCCTGGTGGGTGTGCGAGGCGAGCCCAGTGCCCACGCGCCAGCCACACTCATGCCCGGGGCAGCCGGGGATCCAAGCTCTTCCCCGTCGGAAGGTTTCACTTGGGGGCTCACAGAACCATCCATCCTCAGTCCAGGGCTGGGCTGGAATCGGTGAAGGCAATGGCTTAACTGGTTAGGAAGATGTCACTTTGCCTGATAGCATCCTTTCAAACACCTTTCCATCACTTTTTTTGTTTTTTAACAAAAGTTGGGGACCAAAGTCTTACAAGTACATCTTTTTTAAAGGCGCCAGTATACAGTAGAAGGAATGCAAGTGGGCCTGGGTGAGAGGCGCTGGCCTCAGAGCTCGGTCGTGAAGCCTCTGGAGTCGCGCAGCTGAGGCCACTCTGGGCAGAGCTTCCTGCCGTCACACAGATGAGGACACGGGCAAGGGGGTGTGCAGTCTCTGAGGCTGGAGCAGTCCTGCTGTCCCCTATGTCCCGTTCTTCAATTCCCATTCCTAGAGAAAAGGAAAGTCTTGTAAGTCGACAGGGCAAGAGGATCAGGCTGGGACAAGCCACGCCACCATCCACATTCGACTCAGAGCAGGTGGGTGCTCGGCTACTGCAGAAAACTAAACACAATCAATGACCAGTGACCCGGCAATTCCACTGCTAGGTATTTACCATCAGAATGGAGAGCATGGTCTCCAGCAGATACCACGCCCCCCGTTCACAGCAGCATGACACACAGACAGGAGGCGGAGGCAACCCAATACCCACCGATGGATAGACACAAAAGACACGGCGGGTACAGACACCACCACATATTCAGCCTTAAAAAGGAAGGGCTTCTGACACATGCTGCAGCCTGGATGGACCTTGAGGACATGATCAGAAACAAGCCAGTGACAAAACGATAAATCCTGTAATGATTTCCCTCACATGAGGGACCTGGAAAAGTCTAACCAGGACAGACAGTGGGCCGCGGGCAGTGGCTCATACCTGGAATCCCAGTACTGGGGGAGGCACAGACAGGAGGATGGCATGAGGCTAGGAGTTTTGAGACGCGCCTGGGCAACATAGCAAGACCTCATCTCTATTTCAAAAAATATAAAAACAAAAAAGGAAGTAGAATAGTGGGTATCGAGGGCTGGGGGGGGGGGGACTGGGGAGTGAGTGTTTAATGGAGACACAGCTTCAGTTTGGGAAGATGAGAAAGTTCTGGAAAGGATGGTGGTGATGGCTGTGCAACAGTGGGAATGTGCTTAATGCCACTGAACTATAGACTTAAAGATGCTTTAAATGGTCAATTTTACATTGTGTTTATTTTACCATAATAGAAAAATGTTTTTTTAAAAAATACATGGATGCTTAAACCCAGTCAGCGGAGCAGCTGGACTTGTTCCATCCACAGGCCCTGAGTGCTGGTTGCGGATGGCTGTGGTAAGCGAGAGCAGGGACAGTGTGCACCGGGCAGGCACTGTGCTATGCACTGGGCATGGCTGTGTCTGGTCTGATGACAGTTCTGCACGGTGGACAGTACTCCCACTTCTAAGTGAAGAGACAGGTAGCTGCGGGGCTCATGCCTGGAGCCCCAGCACTTGGAGGGGCTGAGTGAGGTGGGAGGATTGTGTGAGACCAGCCTCAGCAACACAGGGAGACCCCAACTCTACAAAAAATACAAAAATTAGCTGGGTGTGGTGGCGCACACCCGTAGTCGCAGCTACTCGGTAGGCTGAGGCGAGAGGATTGCTTGAGCCCGGGAGTTTGAGGTTGCAGTGAGCCATGACCGTCACTGCACTTGAGCCTGGTCACAAAGCAAGACCCTGCCTCAATTGATCGATAAGGAGACAGAGGCTTAGTGACTTGCCTTAGGTCCAAAGTGATAAAGCTGGGCGCCCAAACCACTGTTCCACAGCAAAGGCCTCCCATCTTCACTTTGCCCTGCTGCCTCCCAACAGGCCACACTCTGGCTTTCATATCTGCTTCTCTCTACACACACCCATGCCCGTTCTCCACCTGACGTCACCTGGCCAGCCTCATGTATCCTGAGGACTAGGCTTCAGTGATTCCCCCCCCAACCCTGTGCCCCTTCCTGCCCTGACTCAGGGAGGCAATGCTCCCATCTTCTGTGCAGTTTCTGTGCTTTTCAACAAGCCATGTCACAGCAATAAATGTACCTGCCCCTCCCTACCGGATACACATCCTCCATGTTCTTCCTTGCTTCTTCCTTTCCAGCCACCCATCTTTGCACAGAGGCAGACGCCTGGGCTACTCCTGGTCTCTGGAGCTATGTGGATTTGAAATGGGGGGATTTGAAATGGGATTTGGTCATGGGATTGAGTTCCAGAAAGAGGAGGCGAAAGAGCAGACGCAGGTCAGAGCAGCAGCAGCACCATGCAGGACAGAGGCCCTCAGTTCCCCGGCATGGATGGCTCTGGAGGAGGACAGCAGAAGGCACAGATGCCAGGGCCAGACTTTCTGTGCCTCAGCCACTGTGGGGGCGGGGGGGTTGGAGAAGTTGCTTCATCTCTCTGAGCCTTGGTACAACGTGAGTCCCACCAAAGACTTCAAAGCGCGATTGGGAAGATCAAAGGAGAAAGGCTCTGTGAAAGCCCCGACCACAGCAGCCGGCACACCATGAGCCTGGCCACCAAACACGAGCTTTCTTCTCTGTGGCCGGTGACCCTGCGCCGGGATGCAGATGCCTGACTCCCACTCTATTTCCAGGGGCTCATTAACTGGGTCATGAGTACACTGCACGTCTCTGCATGCTGCATACAATGAACAATTTCTCATCTTTTCTCAATCAAGAGCTCAAGTTCAACTCATGGTTAAATGCACAATGCTAGCAAATCTGGCAGAAATAAACCCCAAACCGCAGTGATGATAAAACCATGCTGAGGCACTCTGACTCTTGGCGGAAGTATTCTGCAGAGGGGAGGATGGTTAGCTGGGTACGCCTCATGCCTTCCTGCCCCTTCAGCAGCCTCCCTGGGGTAGCTATGTGGGCTGTTGTAAGCAGAGAAGCATGCCCAGGGGACAAGGTCACGAGGTCGGCGCTCAAGGGCAGTCCTCTGTTGTACACATCCCCCACTTCCTCCCAGGCAGTGGGGATTTGAGAGAGGGAAGACCCCATGTTACCTCCACACGGTGCCACATAAGTTTAGCAAACAAGTCTAGGAAACAGTGACATTTCCAAGCCCAGGTCACACTGGCCACAGAATAAGTGACAGGATGAGAACCGGTAGACTCCACTCAACTCAGAGCAGGGCAGGAAACAGAATCTCCAGGTGAATGTGTCACTAGAGGCAGCGGCATGAAATCTGGAGCAGCTCAGCGCCTGCCCCTCGGGCACCTCCCAGAGCGGAGCCACAGTTTCCATGCCCAGATGTCCCTTGGCACATGGCCTGCCCAGATGAAGGGAAGGGACACCTGGCCTGGAGCTGTGCCTGGTGGGTGGTTCTGAGCCAGGAAGCCCTGGGGCATGGGACTGGAAGTCGTCTGACTTTTTAGAACCCTCTCTCGTGCTCAGTGCTCCTCACCGAGAGTTGGAAGGTATTTCAGGAATACCGCAGCCGGGTAGTGCTTCCCACAGCCGGAATACGTCAGACCCCTTGGTCCTCAGAAAAAGGCAGGAGGCAGATGACAAGTTTACGGTACCCAAATGCATTCATGTTCTCAGCATCTACAGGCTCCACCACAATCCCCACCTCCAACCGGGGGTCCCTTGTCACTGTTCTCAGAAATCCTGGGAAACCCTGCTCAGTCTGTCCCCTTCTGACTTCTGCAACAAGATTCTCAGCTGGAGGGACGAGAGGGGCTTCCGCTGTTTTCTGGACCTGTCAATGGGGACCTGTCTGGACAGCTGGCTGTGCATCCGAGGTGACCCAGGATCACTCCCCATTCACCGAGAGGGAGCAGAAGGGAGGGGGCGCCTGAACCTCTGCGTGACGGAAGCACACGCAGTGACAGGAGCCCTTTCAAGGGTCGGGACCACAGAATTTTCAGTCCAATTTCTTTGATGATAAGGAAACCAAATAGATGAAGTCCATTTACAGCATCTCTCATCTGCAGGTCCTTAGCGGGATGTCATCGGGCAGCTCAGTTCTAAACACCCCCCAGGCAAAACATATTCCTCCATCAGCGAGCCCAGTGGTCACCAGGTGAGAACGCTTGGCAAATACAAAGAAAAGCAACGGAGACGACAGTCAGCCATTCCTCCCTTCCCCAGACTCGCCAACACACACGGTCTTCAGTACATGAATCTGCCATGGAGGACTGCTGTTCTGGGGGACAGCTGGGGACAACCATGTTTCTTAGGGGCCCTCCTGTGAGCACCCCAAAGAGCACAGCAGGTGGGTGGTACTCATATTCCCATCTCGCAGGAAACACCTATTCCTGCCAAGTCGGAGTGGGCTCCAAAAGCCGCAAAGAACGCCCGGCTGGGCGCAGCGGCTAACGCCTCTAATCCAGCACTTCGGGAGGTAGGAGGATCACCCGAGCCCAGGAGTTCAACAACAGCCTGGGCAATACTGCCAAACCTCATCTCTAAAAAAAATACAATAAATTAGCTGGGCATATTGGTGTACACCTGTAGTCCCAGCTACTTGGGAGGCTGAGGTGGGAGGATCAACTGAGCCCAGGAGGTCAAGGCTGTGGTGAGCTGTGATGGTACCATTGTACTCAGCCTGGGCCACAGAGTGAGGCCCTGTCTCAAAAAAAAAAAAAAAAAAGTTAATTCCGGTAGTGAGAGGAACCCACAGAGCCGGTACAGGGAGGGCTCCTGCGTTCCAGCCTCTCGGGGTGGGGCAAACCACACTCCTATGGCTCCCCAGCTCACACCATCATAAGCCGTGCGCTTTCACACACACAGCACTTTCTGCTGCTGCAGCCAGGACCCGTTTGCTTTGATCAACTGTGTTTTAAAAATTTCTGAGGTTTTAAAGTTTAGCATCAAAACTTGCTAGTGGCTAATCCCATGAGAAGACTGGACGCTGCCTCAGGAGGGACTAAAGAGGTTCCTCCAAGGCCCTCAGAGCCTGATTCACGCAGCTAGCGGTGCTAGGGAGGGGGCTGGAGGCAAGTTTATTCCTGGACTCTCTTCTTTTTTTTTTTTTAAATTTTTTATTTTTTTTATAATACTTTAAAAGTTCTAGGGTACATGTGCACAACGTGCAGGTTTGTTACATAGGTATACATGTGCCATGTTGGTGTGCTGCACCCATTAACTTGTCATTTACATTAGGTATATCTCCTAATGCTATACCTCCCCTCTCCCCCTTCCCACAATAGGACCCGGTGTGTGATGTTCCCCTTCCTGTGTCCAAGTGTTCTCATTGTTCAATTCCCACCTATGAGTGAGAACATGTGGTATTTGGTTTTCTGTTCTTGCGACAGTTTGCTGAGAATGATGGTTTCCAGCTACATCCATGTCCCTACAAAGCACACAAACTCATCCTTTTTTATGGCTGCATAGTATTCCATGGTATATATGTGCCACATTTTCTTAATCCAGTCTCTCATTGATGGACATTTGGGTTGACTCCAAGTCTTTGCTATTCTGAATAGTGCTGCAATAAACATACGTGTGCATGTGTCTTTATAGCAGCATGACTTATAATCTTTTGGGTATATCCCCAGTAATGGGATGGCTGGGTCAAATGGTATTTCTAGTTCTAGATCCTTGAGGAATCGCCACACTGTTTTCCACAATGGTTGAACTAGCTTACAGTCCCACCAACAGTGTAAAAGTGTTCCTATTTCTCCACATCCTCTCCAGCACCTGTTTCCTGATTTTTTAATGATTGCCATTCTAACTGGTGTAAGATGGTATCTCATTGTGGTGTTGATTTGCATTTCTCTGATGGCCAGTGATGATGAGCGTTTACTGATTGCATATGTGAACCAGCCTTGCATCCCAGGGGATGAAAGCCACTTGATCATGGTGGATAAGCTTTTTGATGTGCTGCTGGGATTCGGTTTGCCAGTATTTTATTGAGATTTTTGCATCGATGTTCATCAGGGCTATTGCGTCTAAAATTTCTCTTTTTTTGTTGTATCCTCTGTCAGGCTTTGGTATCAGGATGATGTTGGCCTCGTAAAATTGAGTTAGGGGGATTGCCTTCTTTTTCTATGATACTTGGAATAGTTTCAGAAGAAATGGTACCAACTCCTCCCTCATTGTACCTCATGGTAGACTTCGGCTGTGATCGCTGGTCCCTGGGACTTTTTTATGGTTGGTAGGCTATTATTATTGCCTCAATTCAGAGCCTGCTATTGGTATATTTCAGTGGACTTCAACTTCTTCCTGCGATTTAGTCTTGGGAGAGAGAGTGTTGTGTCCAGGAATTTATCCATTCTTCTAGGTTTTCTAGTTTATTTTGTAGAGGATGTTTATAGTATTCTCCTGGATGGTTAGTTTGTATTTCCTGTAGGGTCGGTGGTGATATCCCCTTTATCATTTTTTTGGGTCGTCTATTTGATTCTTTCTCCTTTTCTTCTTTATTAGTCTGCTAGCAGTCTATCAAAATTTGTTGTCTTTTCAAAAACCAGCTCCTGAGACTTCATTATTTTTTGGAGGATTTTTTGCTGGTCTCTATCTCCTTCAGTTACTTGCTCTGATTTAGTTGATTTCTTGGCCCTTGCTGCTGCTTTTGAATGTGTTGCTCTTGGCTTCTTAGTTCTTTTAATTGTGATGCATAGGGATGTCAAGTCTTAGATCTTTCCTGCTTTCTCTTGTGGCATTTAGTTGCTATAAATTTCCCTCTACCCCATGCTTTAAATGTGTCCAGGATCTAGGTATGGTTGTATCTTTGTTCTGTCATTTGGTTTCAAAGACACATCTTTATTTCTGTCTTCATTTTGTGTATGTCCGGGTAGTATCCAGGAGGCAGGTTGTTCGTTTCCATGTTGTTGAGCGGGTTTTTGATTTTCTTCAGTCCTGAGTTCTAATATTTTGAATTGCACTGTGGTCTGAGAGAGATTTGTTATTAATTTTGTTCTTTTACATTTTGCTGAGGAGTCCTTGACTTCTCAACTTAGATGTGGTCAATTTTGGAATGTGCTGATGTGTGCTGAGAGAAGAATGTATATTCTGTTGATTTGGGTGGAGAGGTCTGTAGATGTCTATTAGGGTCGCTGGTGGCAGGAGTTGACGTTCAATTCCTGGATATCTGTGACTTTTGTCTTGTCGATCTGTCTTAATGTTGACAGTGAGGGTGTTTAT